AGTTTCAATCTCTTTTGTGAAGAAGTTCCTGATTTCATCTGTCTATCTGTACTTTCTTGTGACTCATTGAATATTTTTATGATAGCTATTTTGCATTCTCTATCATTTAGATTACAAATTTCCGTGCCTTCAGGACTGATTTCTGGGTGCTTGTCATTTTCCTTCAGGTCTGAAGTACTAACACATTTTTTCATACTGTTTGATGGCATGGATATGTGCCTCCATGTAATGATAGTATTTGGTCGCAGCTTCTACCTGCTGCCACTGGGTGGGGGTCAAGAGCTGTCGTGACCCCTGGCTGGCTTGCTCACAGCTGCTGCTTTTCTGTCATATGTGCGGGCCCTCTGGCCAACTACCAGCATTCTAATAACAATGAACACTCTTAGCACTCAGATCTGGTTTTCTAACTACCATTTCCCACAAAAAGAAGTAAGAATTCTTTGAACAAATGGCAGATTATAGATCTGAGACAGCGAGAATACAAGGTCAAAAAAGGACATTTATCAGAAAGCAAGAAAGTGCTCAGAAAAAGAACATAAGAGTCAGCTTGACAGGGTTCACTAGCCATAGTGGGGCATTGTCAGCATCTAAAAGAACCATGTATGCAAATGACAGAAGACACTGAAAAAAAAAATCCATGAGCAAAATGATACTTGAAAATAAAAGAAAAAAATCAGTATTTGGCATCAAGAGGGGACTACTACACCATCTCCCTTCTCTGAAAACTAGTAACTAAACATAAAGAGTAAATAATTTCCTCTGGATTCTTAGGAAGAATTTTATTTCATGTCATCCTCTGTTGATAAGGGAAAAATCTCTTATTTCAGAAGACTACCAGCTAATCAATGAAGAATAATCTCTCTTTTGCTATCAAAAATAAAATAACTGATTCAAGCAAGCATTATCAATAGATCATAAAAGCATTAAGTGAAAGATTGTGGGCAACACAATATTCACATGGTGTCAAAATATTCCTTGGTAGATTAATTCCTATTTGAAAAAGGAAGAAACACATTTACAAAGTAGAGATTTGGCTATCAACACTGTACCCTTTAAATGTGTAGTAAGACAACCCTGATATTTATATGCTTCTTGTTGTACAGTAAGACAACCTGACAGTCATGTGCTTCAACAACAAGAAGGCCATAAGGAAAGGCTCAACACATACAATACGATGAAGCCTTCTTGCCAGAACATGTTTAAGCTGAATCTAATTAAACTTTAGACATAACTTATAGAATAGAGGAAACATAAGAACTAGAAGAACAAGTCAAAAATACTATAAGGAAACAATCAGTGAAATTCAGAATGTGGGATTTTTCTACAAAGCAACTAGCTTGGTTTCTAAAAAGTCAATACAAAAAAATGTGGATGGGGCTGTTCTACCATAAAAGAAACTAATGAAATGTAACAATGAAACGCATTGTGGGAAACTTGTTTGCATCCTGGTTTGAAAAAAGAAAACACATCTTGTGGGAACAATCTAACATAGACTTAGTCCTCATACTGTGATAATTGTATTGCAGTTATGTAAAAGAATATCCTTATTCTTGGGAAATGCATGTTGAAGTCCTAAGTAAGAATTGATTGCTGATTTCTACAACTTACTTTAAAATGATCTAGACCATTCCTATCCCTCCACCCCCTCGAACAGATAATTATATAAAACAAATATAGCAAGATATTAAGAATCATAGAATCTAGGTGTTAGGTGTGTAAGTGCTCATTACATTAGTCTTTTGAATTTTATGTAGCAATTAAAAGAAAATATGGCCTCCAAAAAACAGACTCAGGGAGCCATAAGGAGAGGCCCAAGTGAGATAAACAAAGAAATTAAAAACAAGTTGGTTGAAATGAAATAAAAATAAAAGAGGCTCAAAACATAACACTGGAAAGAATAAAAATAAGAATGATATCATAGATAATTCAATTAAAGAACTAAATCAGGAGTCAGCAAATTATAGCCTGTGGGTGAAATCCCACCTGGGGCCTGTTTTTATATGGTTCTCCAGGAAAAATATATTATGAAAAATGGCAAAGTAGGCAGAAATTTAACAGAGAGAATTAGAGAAAGAGAGAGACAGGAAGAGCTGTCCTGGTATCACACTCGTCCCTGAGGGTCTGTAAAACTACAGATATGCTAACTGGCCCCACTCGGGAAAATCAGAATGGACATGAATCACCTTGAAAGCATTCCCTGAATAAACACTGCTGAATAAAAAGCAGCTCTGATCCAGGAGGAAGTTCTAGGAAGTAAGGTTTAAAAACAAAATTAAACCCATCCTGGGCAGTGTGGAAGACTGTGTGCAGCCAAAGGTTGAATCTTCTCAGGAGTAATTACAAAGGGAAATTCCAACATTCCAAGATGGATGAATTTGGGGCCAAGTTATAAAATCCCTGAACTGCAAAAGTAGTCTCTAAGTCAAATATACATCCAACAGTAAAAGATGAAAATCTAACTGGCTCTGAGGACTTAAGCACAACCTTTGAGCAGTAAGTGGCTTCTGCTGATCCAGAGGCAGTCCCTAGGAAACCAAGATAAAAGATAAAAATAAGGATAAAAAATCTGAGCAGGAACACCAGAGATATATATTGAGAGGGAAATAGACTATAGAATTAGTTCAGTCACATCACTAAACAAATAAATGATGAAGCAAACAAACAACAAGTAGCCCTGGGGATGAAGGCGTATCAGTACCCAAATGTACCATAGTGTATTATCTAAAATGTTTGCTTTTCAATAAAATATTATGAGACATACGATGGAATATGAGGGGAGTGTGATTCAAATAAAGAAAAAAAAAACAACAGGCATTAGAAGCTGTCTTTGAGGGGCCTTAGATGTTGAACTTAGCATACATAGAAATATGTTCAAAGAACTAAAGGAAACCATGTCTAAAGAATTAAAGGAAGGTTTGATAATAATAATTTATTACACAGATGATAATAACAAAGACACAGAAATTACAAAAAAGAACCAAACGGAAATTCTGGTGTTGAAGAGTATAATAGCTGAAATGAAAAATTCACCAGAGGGGTTCGCTAGATTTGAGTTGGCAGAAGAAACAGTCATTGAATTTAAAAATAAATCAATAATGATCATACAATCTGAAAAACAGAATGTAAAAAAAAAATGAACAGATCCTCAGAGAACTGTGGGACACCACTAAATTTACCAGCATATGCATAATGGGAGACCCATATACACTGCAACTACTGGGGAAAGGCAGTGCATGAGCTTCTCAAAGAACATGCTACCAGAGATTCTTAAGAAGAAAGAGAAGGCAGAAGTGATGGTTGCTCCATAGATCCCAAACAACCATTTTTGAAATGTGCTGGTCTGTGAAAAGCCAGAATGTGTTCTGAGATTGTCTAATATTAAATGAAAATTCTTCTAGCAGATGTTATGTTTTGTTTAAAACATATTAATTATTCTTAATGTGGTGGCAAGCCTCCAAGATGGTCCCCAATGATCCCCACCTCTTGGTACTGAGGCTTTTGTATAGTTCCTCCTCATACTGCATGGAAGTGGTCCATGTAACAAACAGGATATTGTGGAAGTATTATGTGTGACTTCTGAGACTAGATCATAAAAGGCATTGTGGCTTCTGTCTCTCTCTTTATCACTCATTCTGGGGAAAGCCAGCTGTTATGTTGTGAGGATACTTAAGCAACACTAAAAAGAGGTCTACGTGGCAATGGAATGAAGCATTCTGCTACCAGCCAGTGAAAAACTGGGGCCTCCTGCCAACAGCCATGCAAATAAGCCATCTTAGAAGCTTATTCTCCAGCAACAGTCAAGCCTTCAGATGACTGTAGCCAAAATCCTGATTGCATCCTCAGGAGAAATCCTAAGCCACAACCACTCAGCTAAGTCACTCCTGAGTTCTTAAACTCCAGAAACTACGAGAAAATAAATGTTTATTATTTTATGCCATTAATGTATGGGGTAATCTGTTACAAAGCAATAAATTTATACTTAGCTAATAAAAAACAATTTCATAAAATATTTTGGTTTATGTTTCTTAGGTATTTTTATCTAGACAGACTTTTATGTTCCTGTAGAAGTACAGAAGGTTATAAAAGAGTACTTTTAAATAAACACAGAAGTATATTCTATTGAAGTATACTGGTTTGTAATTATCAAATAAGAAAATTAAGGTTTACTTAAAGCTTAAAATACTCGTCAGTAAGACAAATTTATTTAATTTTCTTCAATAATCAAAGAAAAGAAAGTGCTGCCTAATAATATGATGAAAATTGGCTATTACAACCTGTTGTTGGTAAAAAGTAGATCTGGGGTCACTGAGGTAGTGGTGGGATCTAGAACCAGTCACTCTGTTTTAACAGCCTATTTATAACCACTATGCCTTAGTCACTCCGGGTTGCTACAACAGAGTAACCACTGACTGGGTAGCCAGTAAACAACAGAAATTTATTTCTCACAGTTATGGAGGCTAGAATGTCAGCATGCTCAGGTTCCGCTGAGCACCCTCTTCTGGGTTGCAGACTGCCGACTTCTTGTATTCTCACAGGACAGAAAGAGACTAAGCCAGTTCTCTGACATCTTATAAGGGCACTACACCCATTCATGAGGACTTCACCCTCATGATCTAATTACCTCCTAAGGGTCCCACCTCCAAATACCATCACATTGGGGATTAGATTTGAACATACGAATTTTGGGGAGATACAACCATTCAGTTTGTACACACTATTAGATATGTATATGTCCAACAGAAAGGGCTAGAATAGAATCTATAGGTCACAAATCATAGAAGAAACATAGGTTTTTTTTTTTTTCCTGGGCAAAGTTACCTGTTTTACATGGAGACTGAATTTGAATTCCTGTCTTAGTCTCCTCAGCACCCTGTTCTGACCAACTTAAGGTACTTAAAATGTTAACGTGGGTGAGGACAAAGATTTAATGCATGTTTTTCACATTGCTTTCTTGAAATTAACAACAAAAATTTTTGTAGTAAGAATATCTAAATACTTACTATGTGCTTTAATGCATTAAAAAGCAGTTTTCTCCCAGATGGTTTGTCAAAATCAGCAATAATCCAGAGAGTAACTGAAGAAATTACATCATAATCTGAAAGTTTCAAATAGTTTAGTCAAACTAATTCTTTTTAAGGTCCAACAAAAAGCAGGCGACCTTTCCAGTTAACGAAATACATAAAAAATAAGTATTACAGTTAATCCTTCCCAAAATAAGCAAATATTGCTAAAAATTATATATACACACTCATGTACATATAAAAATGCTAAAAGAGTAATTCATTACATAAGCTTTATACAAACTCAGTTACCCAGAAGAAACAGCCCCTAGGGAACATATCTGTGGATACCTTTACCAGTCGACAAAAATTGTATTATGCTTATCACAGTTCCAGTGTTGTCAAACAAAACTGCCTTCTACCTACACTTGTAAAAAAAAATTGATATTTATACCCCACATATATATAAAACCAGATATAATAAAGCTTATTAGTAGATTTTCAGAAAAATTTGAAAACTTGGAAGTCACAGCAAGAAACAATTTTTAATTCTGAAGTCACAGTTAAGTGGGTTTAATTTCATCCAGCCTAAGCACATAACACCTGAAACAATACTTCTCTGGCTATCATTAAAACCTATAGAAAAACTAGTCCTTTAAATCACATGACCCACTTAAAACGACCGTAAAAAATGTGCTATTCCCAAACATACTCTTGAATAGATGTGAAGCTACTGAGTAATATCTAACTTCACAAAATTGTAACAAAAAGAAGGGTAACATTGATTCCACTCGCAACCTTCAGAAACAAATTAAGAATAAGGCAGGAAAAAAACAGTAAGGCAGCAGCACATTCTTTTCAAAAAAGAAAGGTAAAGAATTCTGATGCCTTCTTAAAGCCAGCACTTTTACCATCACAGCAAGTAAACTGAGAAATATTTCAAAAGTGCAAAGTAAATTTCTCACAACTCTATTATTTCCTTACACATGTACATAAATGCAAATAGGAGGAAATTAGGTGTTTCTCAGTTAATAAAGTATTCTTTTAAATTGCAAGAGATTTAACGAAAGGGCATTAATGATAGGCTAACATTCTGATGCCCAGAGGCAATTTTCAAAATACAACCCAGAACCTGACAAATATGTTTCTCCTATTTTTTATTCCTTATTTCTCTGTCTCCTTTTCCCTTAGCTTGACACATTCAGGACCTTAGCCTGCCATAACATGGAACTGCATTTTATTTTACTATTTGTTGGATTTCTTGTAGAGAGACTACTTTATGGATATAAAGTCATGAGTCTGTTATACACTAATTTGGGGTCATCTGATCCAAACTTGGATTCATTCTACAGCATTCTCGAAAACTGGTTGTGTGGCCTCTGCTTAAATCTCTCTCATGCATAAAAATTTGTGCCTTACTACATAGCTCATTCCATCTTTACATCCCTCTCATTGTTAGAAAGCTACTGCTTTATACTGAGATGAAAATCAGCCTTATTTTCTCTCTCATGTATTGGCTCTCCTTTTTCTCTCTCGAGCCAAGCAGGTCACACAAAACAAAGCAAAACCAACACAAACTGAACTTTAACTGTCTCCATCTCTGAATAGTTCATGGTACCTAACAAATCTGTGGCCCCACCGCAGACTCCCTGTCTGGCTAAATCCTTATTTCCAAATATGTTCCTGTCTTGGTCTCCCCTCCTTTGGCTGTGACCCCTAACCTAAGCAAAACATCCCAATGCTGTTTATTAATCAGAGTGCACAACTGTTCTCCTCTGATCTGGAATTATACTTTTATTCAGGCCTTATAAGATATCAGTTTACATAGTCTTGAAAGGATTTTACCACTTTCTTAAAAAAGTGAAAAATGGAATAGCTTGCTTTAAAAAAAGGCAAAACACCAAGATTAATCCCTCTGAGTACAGTATTAGCTAGGAAAGGAGGTATCATTTTCTCAGCACAATCCTTACATCATAACAAATCACAAACTCTCAAATTGAAAACCAGGCCTCTAGTCAAAGATCAACATGCAAAATGTATTATGCAAGCACCTTACTAAAATCACAAGTTTTTGCTACTTTAGGAATAAATTCAGGAAAATAAAAGATGCTTAATTACCTTCTCGGGTTAAATAATACATGTTCTTTGCAATTACAGCACTCTTATCTTGTGAATCCAAGAAAGAGAAAGTAGAGAAATCTTCAACATCAGCAGTTACTGAAAATTTTAACATTAAATGTTAAATAATGAATTAAAAAACATTCACAACTCAATAAGCATTTGTAGAAAAGTATATGGAAGGATTATTTTACCTGATGTAGCTATTAAATTAAGGTACTGCATTTTGGTGTGCAAAATCAAAGGATTTATACGGGGTACAATGTTCTTTTTATCCATAAGGAAGTCAATTGCATTTGTCCAATCATTTAATGTGCCCTAAAATAACAAAAATATCACTTAGGTAAATATAGGTAATTTATATGCATACGTTTTAAAGTTATGCAAAGAATACATCTGAAGACTATGTAACCTAAAATAAATCAATAAATAATATGCAATTTAGGATTCTTATAGTAAATTTTCCTGTAAAACTTTGAATTTTCTTTCCAACTAAGCAATTTTTAGCTGTAATTACGCACAGATAAATTTAATTAAGTATTACTTTTAAAATCACTACTAAATGATCAGGATGGAAATTTTTACAAAATTAACTTTTGCTATTACTTTTGTATTTTTTTGTGAGTGTGTGAGGAAGATTGGCCCTGAGCTAACATCTGTGCCAATCTTCCTCTATTCTACATGGGATGCTGCCACAGCATGGCTTGACCAGTGGTGCCAGGTCCACACCCGAGATCTGAACCTGCAAACGCCACGTGGCTGAAGCCAAGCATGTGAACTTAACCGCTCCACCACGGGGCCAGCCCCACTTTTGTATTTTTTAATACAAAAAATTATATATAAATATCATTCATCATACATTTTCTCATAAACGCTTACCTACCATAAAAACTTCCCTTTGTAAATATACAGTTACATCCACCATTCTGTGAAGAACAGCCTTTTCCAGTTCTTTAATATTCAGCTCTTCACGGTTAAAGGATTCACCATTATAAAGAGCCTGAGGCAAAGGACCTAGGCCAGTCATCTTATAAAAGCTTGCTCCTGCCTATACAATTAAAAAACAACTGAGAGTTAAACAGAATATAGCTCTCTGAAAAAGAAACAAATAAGAAAAAGAAAGGGACACCACCACATTTTTATATTCCAAATTTTACTTTTTCTAATTTTATCTGTCCTTTCCAAACATTATTTAAAGGAAAGTAATGTACCTAGACAGAGCAAAAGTCAGTAAACATTTCTGTAAAGGGCCAGATAGTACATATTTTAGGCTTTCTGAACCATTTGGTCTCTTTCACAACCACTGACTTGTGATGTTATAGTGCAAAAGCAGTGATACACAACACATGGATGGATGAAAATGGCCATGTCCCCAAAAAACTCTACTTACCAAAAAAGGCAGTGGGAGGCCTGGATTTGGCGCATGGGCTATAGTTTGCTGACCCTTGATATAGAGGGTGACATTTACTTTTAAAAAAAAAATGTATTTACCTGCATCAGAGATTCATTCATCCCTGTATTATTAGGTTAATCAATATTTATTGAATTCATGCCACTAACATTAGGCTAGACTCTGTGAATACAGAGCTGAAAATCTGCCCTCAAGGGGTTCACATATATACAAACAAAACAGGCAGGTACAAGGTTCTATGGGAGCCCAAAAAAGAATCACCTAACCAAGCTTGAGTGCGGAGAGGAAGGGATCAGAGAAGGCCTCTGTTAGGGAGTGAAACCAAAAGGATGAGTAAAAATTTGCTAGGGAAATAAAGTGGAGAAAGACATTTCAAGTGAAAAGGGACAGCACAGCAAGAAATGGAGGGGAAGAGAGAATATGGCATATTTAGGCAATGGCAGATGATTTGCTGTGTTTACAGTGGGGAGAGTTATATATAGGAGAGCGCTGTCAGGCATGGGGTCAGAGGGGATAGACAGAGGCCAGATCATGAAGGTCCTCAACACCTGGATCTTATCTTGTGAATGATAAAGTGTCACTAAACAATTAATTCATTTGCTATTCAATACTATGTATCATTATAATAATTATTACAGGCATTATTTTCACAATCACTCCATGAAGCTAAGTACTACTATTACAATCATTTTACAGACGATGAAGCCGATAGAGAGAGATGAAGTCACTTTCAGTGCCACATAGCTACTACATTTTGGAAACAGAATTTGAACTTAGATCTGACCAAGAGTCTGAACTCCCAACCACTGGACTATATTATCTCTGCATTTGTTGGGAGCTTACTGTGTATTAGACTTATGAATGCATATAAATGGTATGCAAAGTCTATCCGAAGGAAACTTATAGTTTAACAGAGGGAGAGATGGATATATTAAAAACAAGTGTGGATATAGTATCCAGGATACCAAGGAGGGGCATGGTCAATTCTCTAGGAAGAGGGTTCACGACAGATAACATGATCAGATTTGCTTATTTAAAAAAGAATACGGGGCAACAATGCGCAGGACAAGGCGGGGAGAGCATACACTGGGGACCGTGGGTCAGGGCTATTGCAACAAGGTGGGAAAGAAAAAGCAAGAGACGAAAATCAGTGGTAACACGCAAGGAGAGAATGAGGCAGTTTCTGAATTATTTAGCTGATGGAAGAGACAGAACTTGATGATCTACTGTTTGGGAGAGTATGAGAGAAAAGAAGTTGTTTAGGATGACTATAACGCTTCTAGCATAGGTGGCCTGGGAGAATGATGATGCTATCCCCTAGGATAGGACGTAAAAAAGAAAAAAAGGTTTGGGGTAACAAGGAAGATGATGGGCTTGGTTTTAGATCCTTTTGATGTAAGATTCTTATGGGCAATCCACTAGGCAGTTGAATACATAGGTCTGGACCTCTAGAAAGATGTCCCTGCTTGAAATACAGGCCCTCTTCTGATTTACTCTATAATTTCCAATTAGGCAACCTGTCCATTCTAAAAACTTTAATTACCACGAATAAGCCAATGACATTGAATTTTATACTTTTCGCCCAAACCTCTCTTCTGAGCTATAGACACCAATATCTACTCAGTTATTTCACATGTCCTCTGGAAATCTCACAGGCACCTCAAATTCAATTTGTGAAAAACTAAACTTCTGATCTTACTTCCAACTCAGTTTCTCCTCCACTGCTTTCCATCTTGGCAATGGCATCACAACCCTCCCAGCTCAACTGAACCCTGGGAGTCGACCTTGACAACTTCTCATCTCTCTTCTACCCTATCCAATCCAGGAGCAGGTCTTGGATTGTACTTCCTAAATAACTTGATTGTGTCCCTTTTTCTCTGCCTCTACTTCTTCCAAAAGCCTCCTAACCCATCTCTCACCTATATGTTTCCCAATTCATCTCACCACATACTTTTACCCTCCAAAAATCCATTCTCAACAACAGAGAATGCTCTTTGAAAAAAAATTCACATCACTGTCACTTTACTCCTTAATATCTTTTCAGGTTTTTCACTGTTGCCAAGGTCTTCTACTCTTCTGAATTCAAATTAAATATTGTTCACAAGACCCTGTGTAATCAGGCCCCTTGCTTATTTCTCCAGCTTCATCTAGGAACTTCCCTCCACAACACAAATACAACACATGCTTGCTATCTATAGGGCAGCAACACCAACTTCTCTGAATTCCTTTGCAACTCAGGACCTGCTAACATTTTTCTCTAAAATCTTAATCTCCTATCACTTCCTTGTTTTCTTTAATCCAACTCTTCCTCCTACTTCAGGACTCAGTGCTTCAGAGAAGTCTTCCTTATCCCCAGCCCCCAGGGCACTCCTCTTTCATTCTGTGTGTTGGGCATTTGCTGGGTCCCATCCAGTGAAGACTCATGTCCATCAATTTTGGGAACTTCTTTGTGATATTTCTCTGATGCTTTCCTCTCCTTTCTGTCTCTGTTCCTTCTGAATTTTATGGATTGAATCTCTAATTTTTTACCTTTTATTCTTATTTTTCATTTCTTTGTCTTTTTTTTCTCTCTGTTCCATTAAATTTTTATTTTATTTTTAGTTTTCAAGAGATCTTTCTTGTACTCTATTCTTTTACCTCTTGTGCCTAGAACATTATAAGTACTCAAAAAATATTGGTTGAAAGTACAAAGTTTGAATGGAGAGAGAAATATGAGTTTAAGGAATAAAGACCTAAATGCATTTATTTTTTTTTGTGATGCAGGAGTCAGAATGATTTTCTAGGCATGAAGAGGAAGGTAGAAAAAGGGGCTTATAGGCTAATGAACATTTAGAATAACTTTTGGGAGGAATAGAGAGGAGAGAAGACCAAGCACAACTGAGGGATTGTCAAATAACAGAGTCCAGTTTAAACTGGAGATTAAGTAGACTTGGGAAAAATGGAGAAATTAAGAGACTGAAGATATCATCATTACAGAACAGTCTTAGGGGGAGAAAGGAGTAAAAAGGGAGAAAACAGAAGACTGTACTCACATACTAAAAAAATAGAATTTAGTATTTCCAAGGAGTGCATGGCATTTTCAGTCTACAAAATTCCGTAGCACTTTTCATAATTTCAAAAGAAAATTACTGCAGATATCTTAAAATGGTAACACCAAAAAAAATTCATTTCACTGCTTAACTTGCTAACTGTTTCTAGACCTATCCTCACTTTCTGCCTCTACATCCTCTCATTTGCCACATATATTCCTTCTAAGATGAAAATAAAGAATTCTCATTTGAAGAAATCGAATGCTGCAACAGACTGTCAGTATTAGAAAGACATTTGTTGTTCCTTTAACTGAAAAAAAAATCAGCTCAGCCCCTTGAGTGAGGCCCACCAACCAACAAAACCCATTTATTGTAATCTGCTTCTTAGAATTTCATTCTTACATCTGAAAGATAATCAGACATCATGAGACATTTGACAAATTCTTTGAACACAAAAAAGAAAAACTACAATTAATAGGAAAAAAGGAAGCTATAGAAAGCAGAGATAATGCAGGCAGCAGAACAAAATATCAAAAAATTAATACTCTTACATAAAAAAAGATATTGTGTCCATGAGAGAAAAACTGGATGATACAAAAAAGGAACTGAAAACAGGAAAGATGTCCAGAAAATTTTAAAAAATCACACAAGACAAAGGAATAAAAAAAGAAGAAAAAGTAAATAAAGATTCAACTCAGAAGATTCAGAAAGAACATAAAATAAAGGAAACAAAAGTATGAGAGAAATAACAAAGGAATTCCAGGAATTGATGGACAGGAATCTCCATTAGAAGAAGGTCATCAATACATTGAATGAAAGAGGATCAAGACAAAGGTATAACATCACGAAAATTCCAAACACCAAGGATAAAAAGATCCTAAAAGCTTTCAAACAGGAAAAATCAATCAATCAATCAAGTGGAAAGAAAAAGGAATCAAAATCAGAATGGTATCATTCATTATTAAAAGCCAGGAGACAGCAGAAGAAAATATTCAAAATCTGGAAGGAAAATGACCACCCAGTCCAACTATCAATAACACGCAAATATAAAATAAGATTTTTAGGGGCCAGTGCAGTGGCATAGTGGTTAAGTTCACATGCTCTGCTTCAGCAGCCTGGGGTTCACTGGTTTGGATCCCAGGTATGGACCTATGCACTGGTTATAAACCATGCTGTGGCAGGCATCCAACATATAAAATGGAGGAAGATGGGCACAGATGTTAGCTCAGGACCAATCTTTCTCAGCAAAAAGAGGAGGATTGGTGGTGGATGTTAGTTCAGGGTTAATCTTCCCCTCACCCCACCCCCCACCCCCCAAAATAATAAAATTTAAAAAAATAATAAAATTAAAATTTTAAATACAAAAAGTTCAAATAATTTTCCTCTCATGCATATTTGCTTGGGAGAGAAATAAAATCAGAAATAAATCAACAAGAGGAGAGGCACAGTGTTCACAAAACCAGAGATAAAGCAGAGATCCTATGAAGGAGAGCAGCAAAGGGAAATCCAGAAATGACAGCTGTGCTTCAGGTCTGGAGCCAACCAGCTCAGTTTAGAGAAAGGGCAGGCACAGCTGCAGAAAGGCATTCTTGGGGCTGGTGTGTGCAAGGGATGGTGCTGGTTTGTTCATGCTATGACTATCTGTAAGGAACATTCTAGATGGGTTCTTTGACCAATCTCTTGACTATTTGGATACGTTTGCAGTATGTAGAAAACTACACACATGGGTAAAAAAATGGAGTAATTCTCAAAGCTAATAAAGTTGTTAAGGGGCTGGCCCCATGGCCCAGTGCTTAAAGTTCCATGCACTCCACTTAGGCGGCCCGGGTTTGTGGGTTTGGATCCTGGGTGCAGACCTACCCCACTTGTCAAGCCAGGCTGTGGTGGCAATCCACATACAAAATAGAGGAAGACTGGCACAGATGTTAGCTCAGGGCTAATCTTCATCAAGTAAAAGAAGAGGAAGATTGGCAACAGATACTCAGGGTGAGTCTTCCTCAGGGGGAAAAAAAGTTGTTAACAAATGGAAGGACAATCATAGTACATGACTTACTAGCAAGGAATCTTTAAAAAGTCACACACACTAAATATTCACTTAATCAAAATGTGTTAAAAACAGATCTGATAATTAGCTGGTTTGCACTGGACAGGCCTTACCGATTCTCTATGTATTGAAATACTTCTGTACCAGCTGGTAAATAACTGCTGTCTTGGGATGGTGATTTCCCCCATGAGAACCAGTGGACCTCTTTCCCAGACCCTCCATGTCAACATGATTCAGCCACTACAGGGTTAGTAATTGCCTCAGCACGAGGGTCTCTAAGACTCTACTCCAGCTCTAAGACCTGATCTGAAACGTTCTGATTGGTTGCTCTCGAAAACACAACAGTTTTAAATATTTTAAGTAATACCACTGGACTGGGGGAGACTAAGTGAAGGTAGGGAGGTGGAAGAGAGCTCAATCCTCAATGGCTATAACAGAAACTCAGCAAATTAATATCTAAAAGTTAAGGCGTGCACTGTACAACTTGAGGAATAAAGAATAAGACAAGATTCCTTTTTTTGAAGTACTTATAGCCCAGCTGGAAATGAAACTTACATCCACATACAGTATGTACAAAAAGGGCAGTTAAGAGGAAACAGTAATATTGAGTTGTGAATATCATTACTTAAGGATAACATAGTGCTATTAAGGATAACATAGTGCTACTCGGGTGATATTTTACAGCAACAGATAATATGTAGTACATTTTGGCCATATAATATTATCTCAACTTTAACCCATTTGTATTACAGCATATATTGCTGCTGCATTTACCTAGAACAGACATGAATAAATGAATCCATTTCTTTCTATATATGTTGTATTATGAACAATATTTCAAACTGTTTAATAAATATATTGAAATTAAATAAATACCTTGAATATTTATTTGAATATTATTGAATATTCCTATCTAGCTGTTCTTAGGAACGTATGTTATTTAGATGCACTTAATATCCTCAGGTACACAGGCATTATTAAAGGCTTTAAATGGTATAATTAATTTGAATCAGAAGAGGTTTTTCAAGAAATAAAGCATATACAACTTAGTGAAAAATCAAATAAGTGGTTTCAGATTAATAAAAAAGAAACAGGCAAATCAACCAGAAAAAATTTTTACTCTTGAATGGGAAGTGATTCTTAGTATCATCATTATGCATCTATCTATCAGTCACACTTAAGAGAGATGATATTTGCAGAAGTGCCAGTGCCTAAGGAAGGTAAGGTCTCAAGAGAAACTGTGTTCTATTACTTAGTAGCAAGCAGAGAAAAGACCCACTTCTATAAAACAAAAAAAAAGAAAGAAAGAAAAAGAAGAAAAGAAAGAAAAAGAAAAACATAACATGTAACGTGTAAGTAATGAATTACTTCCAGGACTCCTATAATTAACACTCGCTACTGGCAAATATTAAAACACAAATGGTGCAACATTCTGCTTTCAACCTCTGCAAATAGGACCCCTAATATACAAAAACTCATTGTTTTTCTATTCCATGAGCTTACATAATCCTTATAGGAAATTTTTGTTCCTTCTCCCCATAATTCAGAATGCCTGAAAAGTACTTATAAAACAATAATTTTCTTTCTAAATTTTCTTAGTGCCATAAATAACTTTATCAAAAGAGATGCCTCCGTGCAACCTGGCCTTAAAAGGAAGCTCATCTTGGCTGCTTTTTAGTTTTGTTTTTTAATTATATGAAAATATAGTAATGGAAAAGAATCAGGGGCTGGCCCCGTGGCTCAGTGGTTAACTTTACATTGTCCACTTTGGTGGCCTGGGGTTTTGCTGGTTCGCATCTTGGGTGCAGACCTAGCACCGCTTGTCATGCCATGCTGGGGTGGCGTCCCACAATAGCACAACCAGAAGGACCTACAACTAGAATATACAACCATGTACTGGGGGGCTTTGGGGAGAAGAAGAAAACAAAAAGGAAGATTGGCAACAGATACTAGCTCAGGGCCAATCTTTGAAAAAAAATCAATGAAACCCTTTCTCACTTCAAAAGCAACCATTTGAAAACCATTCTTCTATAAGTAACAACAACAACAAAAATCCATAATTTCTACCACACTGGCTTTTCAATCGCATAAAGACCACCAGACCTTTGGCTTCCTGGCTTTGATTCCGTTTCAACACAGCCTGCACTCCACAGATCTCGCTGATGGGCTATTCTTTGGGCCTCTTATGCTAATGCTTTACCTGTCCTATGAAATTCAACCTTAAGATATTTTATCTAGTTACCTTCCTTCACTCATATGGGTGGGCATTTTGGACTGTCTTTAAAACTGAAAAGATTGACACTCCTGTAAATTTATGGTAGGCAATTTCAGCAGAAATTTCAGCACCAAGGCAATTCTTTTATATGTTTTTACTCTACTCCCTTTCCTGGTCCACGGAGCAGCAATTTCTAAAACTTCATTGCTCTCCTGAAGTTCCATTCCTACCACACCAACCCTCACTCTCAGCCTTGCCTCCTCATTCAACAGTTATTTACTGATTACACATGATCCACTCACAGAGCTATAGGCCTACAACATCCCACAAGACAAATACTATTCCTGCTTTCATGGAGGATGCAGTCTAGTGAGAAGGCAGGTACTGAACAACTAAGTATAATTAGTATTACACAGGACTATATTGTACTATTTTAGCATCTAAGTTAGCTTGGGCAACTTAATCTCATATAGAGGGTTAGAAAATGCTTCCCACAAGTTTTTCCCACAAGTGATACTTTTCCCCCAAAGTAACATTAAAGCCAAGAGCTAAAGATAAGTAAGCACAAGCTAGGAAGAAAAGGGAGGGAGTCTCGACAAACATCGAGAACAAGCATGTGCAGTTCCTCTGATCAGGAGGTCACCCATTCAAGAACCTGAAATAGTGCCAATATGGCTGCAACAGAAAGAGCAAGGAAGAGAGTAGTGAAAGATGAGACTAAAGAATTAAATAGGGGCCAAATCCAGTAGGACCTTTACGATGCTAATGATTCTGAACTTTACTTTTACTATGGAGGGATACTGCATGTAACAGTGACAGGATCAGACCTACTTTTTAAACAACTCTTGATATCCATATAAGCACTAGAAATTCAACCCCAATGATGCCACATTTTCCTAAGTTTGGTTCTTGTCCTAGCATTTAACTAAAAAGCCAACTTTCCATTTCTTCCTCAAAAAGCACAAATTACATTGTTTAAGATTTTACATTCAAGTTTTCTATCCCGTCAATCCTGAGAATTACCTTTTTTTTCATATTTTTCAAAAATTAAATAGTGGCAACTTAAATACTGTGTCCAACTTGTGTCATTCAAAGGTCTAAAATTTCCCTTCTGAGAGACTAAAATCCAAATCAAGAGTTATTTATATTCAGATAATTTATTCACGAGACTATAATCAAAGTTTCTTTGATCATGTTTTTGAAAATTTGCATTCCAACTTACCTTTCTGTTGCCATCATATTTAGAATGAATCCCTAAAATATCCAAAATATTAGCTTGAGGAAATTGATTTTGGAGGACACTCTTCACATTGTCTACAGTGAGTATATTTTGATTCTTCACTTTTTGGTACATCTGCGGAAACAAAGATATTACAATTAACTTCCATCTTATAGAAATTAGTTTTCTTTCTTTCCCTTAGCATGCAGATAGATTTATAAAATAAAGAACATATTTTCTAAGTTCTAAGCATATTATATATATATATATATACACACACACCTCCCCCCACACACATACAGATAAATAAATCATTTTAACCATACAATATATCATCTTCTAATAAAAATGGTCTTGTGAATATTCTATAGCTTTCAAAATCCTAATAAATTTATGTTATACTCTATTTTGATCAAACTAGACACTGTGATTCTTATAACGGTTACCTTTATTTAAAAAAATATGTGTAAGACATTTTAAATGACTGATTTCAGAAATGCTTTATTTTCATTTCTGATTGCTCTTCAGTAAATATCTTGACTAGTTTTCTCTGTTCCTCCACTCTTCCCCCCGTCTCAAATGTTTTAAACACACTTGCATACTGTAAGCTGTTACTCCTTTACTGCTTCATTTCTCCCTTCATCATACATCCTCTACTATGACCCAAGCATGTTCTAGGCATGGGGAAAAAGGACAGTTTTGCACCGAGAGTCAAGAGAGAATGCATCTCTGAGTAGTGGCCTAGTCAAGATATAAATATGAACACTGAGCTAGCATTAAGACATTGTGGGGAAAGAACTTTCCAAGCAGAAGGAACAACTAGTAAGCATAAATACCATTAGGTAGTATTTTGATATATCAACTAAGAATAGTATTTTTAGTTCCAATTCACTTAAGTCATTATTGCCAGAGATAATCCTCATACTATGGCTGACAGAATCCCCACACTATTCCTCACAGTAAGGAATTAGCATTCTTCTTTGCTTTCCTTTTATCACTGTAAACTTTGTAACCTATTCCTTCAAGAAGAGGCACAGGTCTGCAGTTAGGCCACAGAGTTTAGTTTTATGAGATTCTCAACATAGGGGCAAGTTTTCTTCTCAAATCAAAGCAGGACATACTATGATCTAACTAAAAAAGAAACAAAGTGAAAAGTTCAGTATTCTATAAAACATAAATAGGGATTACAAAAATGAGATTTTAGGTCTACACGCCTGGACCAGGTCAGAGCAATGGCCCCCACCAGTGTCTCAGTCTCCAGGGAGGTCCCTCCTCTCACCGAGATGCCCCCAGAGCCCACGAGGAACGTACAGTTAATGGAGAAGCAGAGTTATAGACAAATGATTAAAGCACAAGGTGGAAATGGAGGAGTAGTACAGCTGCAGTTGTATGAAAGAGGAAGATCAGCTTGTTTCTTCTCATTCAAAGAATCCAAGTTGTTAAAAAGTACTTGCCCAAGTTCACCCAGAAAATGAGGCAATGTATGCCTTGTTCAAAGTCAGGCTGCTGGTGGGCACTGAAGCCTGAAACACCACTGAAACTCAGACCACCTGACTTCAACTCAAATGGACTCCACTCAAGCAGACCTACGATTCTGAAGATGAACTTGGAAGCAAGATGGAAGGCTCCCACCAGACATCATGAAGTCCAAATGTGTTCTCTAGAATGTGGCAGCCTTTTTGCACCCATGCTGCCAATGTGGAAGATGGCAGAGTGGAGGGATGAAAAGAGCCTCTATCCTTAACGATGCTGCTGATCTGATGATCCAACCCCAGCCTTGCCTGCCTACCTCTCAAATTCTTGTTTTCTGAGATTACTAACTTCCTTTTTGTTTAAAACCACCTTTAACGGAGGTATGCTATTACTTGTAGCCAAAAGAAACATAACTAAAACATTACTATATTAAAAAAAAATGAGATTTTGAATAAAGCAAAAGTTACATATGAAAAGTCATTGAGATTAGGCATTTTACTAATTAGTCCTTTTAAAATATTAGACTTTCCTAAGGTACCTAAGGAAGCCAGAATCTCTTCCATAAGCTACTTAGATATATAATGACTCCATTTTTTAATACATTTTTAAATTTTAAAAACAGTTATGCTACTTGGTAGGAAAAAAGTGCATGTATGTAACATACATGTTATAAGGAATAAATAATAAAATGAATAGTCCCCATGAGCAAACCACATAACACAGGAACTGGAATATCACTGGTACTGGTGAAGCACAACTTCTCTCCCTATCTCATCTCCTTCTGCTCCCAGATGCAAGCATCATCCTGTTTGTGTACATTCCCTTACCTTTTAAATTCTAGAGTTTTACCTGAATGTTCCCCATGCACTACATTTAGCTTTGTTTGCTTGTGACCTTTAAGAAGTGTATTGTATGGCAATATATTAGCCTTCCATAACTTCATTCTGCTTCAAATACAGCCATGCTCTTATATATCATGTTCCATTTTATGAATAGACTGAATTTTACCCATGTTTTACCACTGATATAGATAGAGAGATAGGTAGGTATCCAGTTTGTTGCTATTATGGATGCTAAGAATAGTCTCCTATGGCACAGGTACAAGATTTTCTCTTAGGGTGTGAGTGCGTCTAGGGAATATGCAAATTTAACTCCAAATCTGGACGTAACCAGATTGTTTTTCAATGTGGTTGTGCCAATTCGTATTCCTAAAGGCAGGGTAACATTGCTCTACATTCTCAGTAACATAAGATATTGCCAGCCTTCTTAATTAGTGCCAAATTACAGGCTATAAAATAATATCTCAGGGTAGTCTTTATTGGCATTTTTCTGATTTCTGAGATAATGATCTTATTTATCATTAATTGTAATAAATATTTATCTACCTCAATAATTTCAATAAATTTTTGTTTATCATTAATGTAGCCTCTTGTATTTAAAAAGAATTCTTTTATGTATTTCTTCTCTTGGGTTGTATTTTTCTTTTTGATTTGTAGGAAGTCTTTACATCATAGAATACAGATCTTTTACGGATTTCTTGCTTGGAACTTTTATCTCCTCACTTCTCATCTGTAAACATTTGAACATTTGCAAACATTTGTTTTCATTTGTAATACAGCTAAATTTATCAGTATTTTCCTTCAGACTCATGGCTTTTTAAGTCTTACTGAGGAAACCCTTACTTCCCTTGGGGTCTTAATTTCTTCTAAAAGTTTCAATGCTTTGTTTTTCACACTAAGCTAACTGAAATGATTTTTATATAAAGTGTGAGGTCTTATCTGTTTGCACTGGCAGAATCAATTGTCAAGCCACCAGCTGCTTAAAGTCCATTCCCACTTACTGTAATGCCACTTTTGAATTCCTCAGTTTTAGAGGCCCCACGTGTTCCTTTGGCCTATACACATCTTTCCTTTGAACCAACACTGTGCTGTCTTAGTATAACTTTATACACCTTATTATTTGGTATGGTGAGTCCCATCACTTTATTCTTCCTCAAGAGATTTTCAGCAATTTTGGGTTTTATTCTTCCATACAAATTTCACTTATTTTTCTATTATATTTTTTCAGCTTTATTGAGGTATAATTGACAAATAAAATAGTAATATATTTACACTCTACAACATGATGATTTGATAAACATATACACCATGAAAGGATTCCCACTATCAAGTTAATTAACACATCCATCATCTATTTATCTTTTTTTTCTTTTTTTGGAAAGAACACTTAAATTCTACTCTCTAGCAAATTTCAACCATACAATACAGGATTATCAACCATATCATCTCGCTGTACATTAGATTCCCAGAACTTACTCCTCTTACAACTGGAAATGTATATCCTTTGACGAACATCTCTTCATTTTCCCCCCTCTCCCAGCCTCTGACAACCACTTTTCTATTCTGTTTCCATGAGTTCAGCTTTTTTAGATTCCACATATAAGGAATATTATATAGTATTTATCTTTCTCTGCCTGATATATTTTACTTGGCAAAATGCTCTCCAGGTTCATCTATGTTATCACAAATGGCAGTATTTCCTTCTTTTTTAAGGCTGAATAATATTCCATTGTATATGTATTATTAATGTATATATATTATTTTCTTTATCCATTCATCCACCAATGGACACTTGGGTTGTTTTCATACCTTGGTTATTATGAATGCTGCTGTAATGATTATGGGAGTATAGATATCTCAAGATACTGATTTCGTTTCCTTTGGATACACACCCAGAATTGTGATTGCTGGTTCATACGGTAGTCCTATTTTTAATTTCTTGAGGAACCTTCAGACTGTTTTCCATAGTGGCTTTACCCACCAACAGTGTACAAGGGTTCCCTTTTGTCTACATCCTTGCCGGCATTTATCTCTTGTCTGTTTGATAACAGACACCCTAACAGGTGTGAGGTGATATCTCACTGTGGTTTTGGTTTGCATTTCCCTGATGATTAATCATGTTGAGCATCCTGTTGAGTACCTGTTGGCCATCTGTAATATCTTCTTTGGAAAAAAGTCTATTCAGGCCCTTTGCCCATTTTTTAATTGAGTTATCTGTTTTGTTTTTTGCTATTGAGTTGTATGAATTCCTTGCATATTTTGGATATTAACCCCTTATTGGATACGTGGTTTGAAAATATTTTCACTTGATCATTAATGATCCTTTAAAGGTACTGTTGAATTCAGTTTGCTAGTATTTTGTTGAAGATTTTTGCATCTATGTTGGTAGGGATACTGGCCTGTAATTTTCATTTCTTATAGTGTCCTTGTCCGGCTTTGGCAGCAGGGTAACGCTGGCCTTATAAGTTTGGAAGTGTTCTCTCCCTTTCTGTTTTTTGTAAGAGTTTGAGAAGAACTGGTATTAATTCTTCTTTAAATGTTTGGTAGACGTCACGAGTGATGCCATCTGGTCCTAGACTTTTGTTTGTTGGGAGGTTTCTGCTTACCAATTCAATCTCCTTACTAGTAATTGGTCTGTTCACAGTTTCTATTTCTTCATGATTCCGTTTTGGTAGATCATATGCTTCTAGGATTTATCTATTTCTTCTATATTGTTGAATATTTGTTTTGTGTATAATTTTCCATCTTTTTATATCCATTCTTCTAGTATGCTTAAGTTTAATTTACTTATACTTAACATAATTACTAATATGGTTGGATTAACTTATGCCACTTTGCTATTTGTTTTCTACATATCACATGTGTTTTTTGATCATTGCTTCTTCCTTTTCTGCTTTCTTTGTGCCTAACAGACATTTCTTAGTGCACCATTTCAATTCCTCCTTTGATTTTTAAGCTTTTTATAACTCAGTTTCTTTGCAGTTACTCTAGGAATTAAAATATTCATCAGAACTTACCACAATCTGCTTCCTATTAATCTTAACTTAATATTGACAAAACACAGAATTTAAATTCCAAAATAGATCCATTTTATCCTCTGCTCCTTTGTACAATTATTGTCACATGTATCATTACATCTGCATAAACCAGAATTTATGTTTTATTCAATCTTGTGTAATTTAAAGAAGAGACGAGGAAAATACATTCATACAGCCTTCCATATCTACCCATATGTTTACATTTCATTTACTGTTTCCACTTCATTTCTTCCCGTGGATTTGAGTTACCACCTGATGTCACTTCCTTTCAGCCTAAAGGACTTCCTTCAGTATTTCTTCTGAAGCAGCAAGGAGTTCTCTCAGTCTTTCTCTGTGAGTATCTTTATATATTCAAAAATATATTCGTTTGCAAGGATCATATTGTGTTACCTCTCGCTGAACATCTGAAAACAGACTTATTTCATGTACTTTGTCCAGTTTTATAAGTGCTGCTGTGGTAAGGCTAATCTGGTGTCAGTTACTCCATCATGGCCAAAAGTTAGTCTTACAGTGCTTTTACATTCTAAAACATGCATTCATCAAATATTCATTAAGTATGTAACATACAATTTTTTGAGTCTTAATCTTGTAAGGTAGGGAGAAAAAATTAAATTACTTGTAAGTTCGTACAGCCACTGTGCAGTAGAACTGAGATACAAAGTCAGACTGTTTTACTATAAATACTGTACTTACTCTACAATAACTATCTACCACATTTCAATAATTTTTATATACTTTTCTTATGACTTTGGTCTTCTATTATATTCCTCCTCTCTCCTGATACTGTATTTTCAAATTATTTAGATAAAATAATTTGCTCATTGAAAGTAATGAAACAGTATTAAAGAGATTTTACAATTCATGTATTTTATTAAAAGACTAGATTTTACTCAAATTATTTTAAATTAGTGAAGCTAAGTCATCTAAGGGATGTTAGCTCAATAATGTTTTACTTTCCTGTGAGACACAAAAATTTGGGAGTCCCTAAGCATATATGGTTTGAATAACCACAAATATTCTCACACTCCATACCCCAGTGGATTCTACTATCTTTCTCTAAACATTCCTTCCTCAGTTATTTTTCCTTCACTTTCTTCCTCTAGTTGTTTAGTACCACTTATAGGCTGTGGCACATATTCAATACTTACTTTTATGCTGCTTTGTATTGAATCCTATGGTTTCCAGTATAATTTGGTTTTCCAAGAAATTATAGTATTGTGCTGAACATCACAATAGATAATTCAGTAGGCAAGTGATTGACAAAATACGCCATCACATGCAAATTAGTGTCTGATACCAAATGCTTACAGACTAGAGACTCACTAGAGATAACTAAGATAACTTAGGTAAAGATAACTTTGGCAAGTCTTCAAGTTTCTTAGTTTTGGACAGCATATTGATCCTTTTGCAAAAAGGTAGTTGGACATTAATAATAATAATGATAAAAAGATATGTCAATTTGACTAAGTCCCTTATAAACTCTTACACCAATCAGTTAGTAAAACTAACAGACTGAGATACAATACTGACACATATTCCACTGCCCAAGTCACAGAAGGGTAGGTAGTTTCTATACCCCAGGACAGTGAGGCATTTACTGTTTCTCCTGGGAGTTACAGAAACAGGGGAGGAAATTTACACTGCTTTGGAAATTTCATTCTCAGTTTGAAGAAGAATCATTCCTTCTTATAATAATAGTTGACAAGCTAAAGACTGAGTATAAAAATGAACAGAGGTTATTTTTTTAAGCTATAACCTGACTTTCTTAATAATAACAATATAATTCTTTAATACACTTATATTTCCATGATGGGCCATGAGAGAATTTCCAAACCTGAATTATGAAATAATCTTCCTATTTCTTGTTCTTCCTTAATCAGGTTCTTATCAATTTCTGACTTTTCTTACACAACCTCTTGGTCAAACTCAGTCTCAATCTTACCATTTCCACACCAATTTGCCATCATGAAGTGATCTCTTCCTCTTTTGAAATTCTCTAGCAAGTGTCTGCATACTTTGTCATTTAGAATATTTAATTTTGCAATAATCTTTTCTGTTCGTTTTACTCAAGACCTAGTGCAAGAATTCTTCCCTGATTAATCATTTTATATTAATATGTTTGCCTTTAAACTTACATATACAATTTAAATTTCTTTATTGGCTGGGTAAACCTGAGCAAACTCATATATTTTGGCAGAGTCTCAGTTGCCTAATTTGTAAAGTGGGGACAATATTATGTACCTCAGTTGGGATTTGCAAGGATCAAATTCATCATCTGTATTAATTCCCACAGTCATATTTATAAACTTTTAAATGTTAAAATAAATAATAATAATTACAGTGATGCAAAAAAAAAACCCACTGTACATTCTACAGAAATTATACCTAACACATAAACTCACTTTTAGTACGGAAACAAATGCTTGTGACACATCATGTTCTTCTGCAATATAGCTGAAAGCCCGCCAAAGAGCAACTCCAGCATCATTTGTTCCATCAACTTCATCATCCGTATTAACAATGAATACAAAACCAATTCTGGGAAAATAAAATGAATAAGTCACAACTACCTCTTGAACCACAATAAACCACAACTTTTAAACATTATTAGACTATAACATCTAGATGGAGGGAATATGTTAGTAGATGGGTGAAAGGGGAATATCATTATTTGAAAAGGTTTGATTTGTAATGTCTGTTCACCAAAATCCTCATATCTATTGGATTCGTCCAAAATGTCAAACTCTCTCCGTTGGTGATATTATCAAACAATCTATTTTTCCGGGGAAAAAAAGAGGGAAAGTGTACTTTTAACACCACCACAGGGAAACGGATCCATCTTTAACTACCCAAAGTAATCAGATCACTCTCCCAGGAAGGTAAGAGGGTAAGCAAGATTACCAAGCAGCTTTGATTAACAGAGTCTACTATAAAAGCATATGACATTGTAAACACACAGCTATGTTGTGTCAGGCACTAGAGATAACCAATGCTTTGAATTTCACAGTAATATTCTGTGTAACACAACATGAACATCACTGATTTCCTTCAGTTGACAATTTAATGTTATAAATTGACAATTACCTAAGAGGAACTTTATGATAATAGAAAAGTTCAGCAAGTTTTATGAAATCCAAGGTATATTCTTGAGCAGGATCAATAAACAGAACCTAAAAGAAAGTAGATAGTCTACAATCACTATTTTGTCTCAACACTTTACAATTTTCATGAAATTCAAGTTTAGTCTAAGCTCTATAGCCAAGAGTATGAAATTCAAGGTACAATCTTTTTTTTAGAAATTTCTAGTAATTCTAAAGAATTTTGAGGAATGTATACAAGAAATAATTTCATACTTTATCAAGGATTTCTAAAAGCTGCACATTCAAATATAATAATACATGGAATTTAAAGAGAGATTACTCATCTTCTTTTTGAAGCACAACACAAAGGAAATGTTTCCTACAAGAAGTGAAATGCCTTATCATAAATGTTCACTGGATTTTCTGTGATACATTTTTTTTGTTTTTGAGGAAGATTAGCTCTGAGCTAACATCTGCTGCCAATCCTCCTCTTTTTGCTGAGGAAGACTGGCCCTGAGCTAACATCTGTGCCCATCTTCCTCCACTTTATATGTGGGAGACCTGACACAGCATAGCTTGCCAAGCAGTGCCATGTCCGCACCCGGGATCCGAAGTGGCGCCCCCGGGCCACTGAAGCGGAACATGCAAACTTAACCACTGCACTACTGGGCTGGTCCCTCTATGATAAATTTTTTTTTAAAAGAAATAAAAATTAAATTTTGACCAACAAAAAATAGCATTAATATAACTGCTCACTCTAGGTTGCTGTAGGAAAGAAGAAATTCACTTCCTATGTAAAAAAATACCAAAGCCCTAGGTGTTTTCCCCATATTTCAAAGTTCTAGAAGGTTGTCTAATATTGTAATAATAAACATATGCACATATGAGACAGTAGTATTTATGTAGTTTTCTCTGAAATGTACTAAACTTTAATCAGTTCTTTATAATACAGAAGAAAAGTCTGATCATAAATTGCTTTCAGAAAATGTAAAAGCAACCCATCAACTTAATATTGGTATTATAAAAGTACAGGAGGGCTAAATAGTAAGAGGCAGATGATGTGACACTGCAAGCTTTTGATACCTAGGCAGCCACATCGCCTCAAGCTTGTTGCATCAGGCAAATATTTCCTTCCTCATTACTCAGATGCCTATTTACCAAGAGCAGGGTAATCCAAAAAGAACACTGATATCTTTATAAAAGATGTATACAAAATGTCAAAATAGAAAACTCACCAAATTATGAAAATTACGCCTTATGGAAGGTATACTTCCAGGGAATATTGGCTTCAGAAGCTCCTGGCAACTTGCAGGCCACATAACATACAAATGATCATTTTCTAGGTCATTAATCCACTAGAAAAGAATCCAGAAATCTGTAAAAGCTATATTAAGATAATACTTAAATCATTTCAGAGCCAGATTTCACGCTATCAAATGACAAGTAAAAATACACAGAGGATTTTCTATATTTCTGATTAAATATATTCTTTAAATTAAGGAACATTACTATGTACAATTTTATATTACCATGGTCTTTTACATTGAGCCTTTCCCCCCAAAACAACTGACTCCTTTTACTCATGTTTGTTTTTCATATTAAAAAATAAAATTCTATAAAAATTACTCTCCAAAAACCATTTAAAAGAGACACGTATTTATCTCAATTATCAGCAGTGCAGAAGGTGATGAGGTCCTCGACTGCCCGTCTCAAACTGAAAGGCTTGGACATAAGGAGAATAAAATGTCGTATAATAATTAAATTATAAAACTGACACCTTGGACATTTAATTCTAATCATGATGAAAGAGCTTATATTAGACTAACCCTCCCACCTGAAACAATGATAAAAGCTGGAAAGGACATATAAACCATTGTTCAGAGGCATGGAGGCAGGTGTCAACCCAGAATCAAGGATTGAGGAGTTACAATCCTTGAAAGCAGGAGGTGTAAGAGACAAGCTCCACATTCACCTCAACACTGTCCCTGGGGGCATTTTCCAAATTGCAGCCTGGAGAAACAGAATTCAAATAGAAAGTAACAGTCATATTGGGCTGGAAAGAGAGAAGTCAAAATTAGGGTTGCCAAACTGGTGGGATTTGAGGCAGGGGCAATCCAGGAAAGGAGGAAACTGCAGGGAAGAAACCAAAGCATCTCCACATAAATTCCTCTCATTTGCTGTCTACTAACTGAACATACACTTGGCAAGACACCCCTCAAAAATTCCAGGAGGAAATAGAACCCGGGAGGTTGAAGCCACAGCCACAGCATGGTACTGAGGACACAGAGGCCGGAGCTGAAGGCGAAAGGACTTTGCAAAACACTGCGCTTTCATCTGAGACCCAGTAGGGCCAGACCTTAGGAGTACAACAAAAAAGAGAAAAGCTTGCACAAAGCCTAAAACAAAATCAAACCACAAGAGAATCAAGTGAGCATCTCTACCTGGACTGCCAGAACAAACCTCACAACTCTTTGCTTCTATAACCTTTCATCAGCAATTTTCGGCTCTTATCAAAAACTGTCATGCAAAAAGAAAAGAACCACATGAAATGCAAGAGAAAAAAACATAACAGAAAGGGACTTAAGCAAAAACTTTAAAATAACGACAATTAATGTATTCTTTAAAAAGAACAAAAATACATGGCAAGATGGAAAATTTTAACAGAGAACTAAAATCTATTAAAAAAGAAAGGGATATTCTAGAATTTAAAAACAGTGTCTGTAATTAAGAATTGTAAGAACTTATCAGGCGGGTTTAATTGCACGCTGCACATGGAAGAGACGGGGATGAGTAAACTGAATGACAGATCAATAGTACATATATCAACTAAAGTGCACAGAGAAAAAGATTATGCAAAGTTGAAACAAGTGTAAGAGAGATGAGTGACAGGCAAAGGTCTAACATGAATGAGGCTGAAAGTACTAAAGGAGAGAAAGAATGGGACAAGGCAATGCTTGAAGAAATGAGGAGTTTTTGCAGTAAGCTAGACATGAGTTTTTGGAGTGCTTAATTAAGTCAGAGGCAGTGGCTTTAGAGAGAAGACAGAGTTAAGAGACACAAACAAAGAGGGATGAGTAAGAGGGAGGAATCTAGGATAACTCACGGCTTTCAGAAAGGAACACCATATCAACCCTGAAGAATTAGGCTCTAAGAGAAGTAGGCTTTTCCAAGCAGAGAGGATCGAAAGCGGAGAGGGAGTTAACTCAGCTCTAGACATACTTAAGACATCCGAGGAGGGATAACAGTGGACAGCTACAACTTCTACATTCATGGTTCGCAAGTGTGATGGTGACCTGGGATTGGCTTATTTCCACTCTAATTTGCCTGGGTAGTACAGAATTAGAAGGGAGAACTTTGGTCTCCCTGGAAAAGTCAGGAGTAGTGTATCTTGTTTAGGCTTCTGAGGTAATTCTTGACAAGATGTGAAGGTAATGGCAACAGTTCTAAAGATCCTCACAATATGCTAGGAATCCCCTGTGAACTGGAAATCTTTGCAGACTCAGTCAACAGTGTCTAGATCTGTTAAATTTTCTTCTGTGGGGATCCTGGCCAGAGGAGGAGAAGGCACGAAGCAGAGGATGTGACTATCCGATCTCCGTGGCGGTCAGTTATGTTTCTTATTTTAAGTGAGAAACTGGCCTTAGGCTTTATGTATCAGTCCCTCTGAATCTGATTAATGATCGGAAGTAGAGTCACTTTTGATGTGGATCAAAACAGCTGGAGGTGTTTATTTAAAATGCAGATTCCTTGGCCCCACTTCAGACCTACTAAACCAGAAGCTCAGAACAGGCCCTGGGAATCTCCATTTAAACCTAGTGCCCTACGTGACTCCTATCAGAAATACCAAAGTTGGAAAACTACAGCAGCGGTCTAACTTACAGCATGGGTGTTGGGGAAATTAATTGAGGTGACATCCTGATCCATTTGGAGAACTATTGAAACAACACTGGAAATCACACTGAATAGGCCCATAGCGATCGAACTGTCCATTTCTTTAGTTTCAAGTAAATCTACAGAAGCATCAACAATAGCTGGAAAAGTGGCCTCACAAAGTTGCATGGAGAACTGGCATTGATATTCCAAACATCTACCTCACTAGTTCTGTTAGTCTTAACTGTGGCCTTTATACCTACTGTTAGGAATAATAAAAAGTTCTGGAGATGGATAATGGTGATGGTTGTACAGCCTTGTGAATGTACTTAATGACACTGAATTACACACTTAAAAGGCTAAAAGAGCATATCTTATGTTATATATATTTTAATTCAATAGAAAATTACTTTGTGACACACTCAGATAGAAGTTCCTTGGAAAAGAATGCCTCCTGAAAGTGTACAAGAGTTGGGCAAGAGAGGAGGAGAATTCAGAGCAGTACTACAGCAGGAGACTTCAACCCAGGGAAGCGGGACTCTGCGGAGGGTAAGGGCAATGAGGACAGCATCAGGGCTGCTCCATCCCATGAGTGACTGTCCTCTACTGCCAATCTTAGAAGACCAGAATGTTATTTTGTAAATGGAGCTGCAAAGTTTCTTTAGAGATCTATTTCTTATGCACAGAATAACCTTGAAAATTACTTCCTTCATTTTCTCAGTGTGACTCACATTCCCAGCACTCTTCTATAAATGCTAAAAAGCATAAATACTTAAAATAAAAGGCACAAAGTATTATGATTACCAATGTGGTCATTCCTTTTTCTGGTAAAACATTTTTAGAAAAGACTCTGTTATTACACTCAAAGATATCCAAGTAAAAGTAAAATCTAGCCAATGAGAGAATATAATCTAAAGAGCAGTAAAACAGTTATAATAAATGTTTATACCAAATCACTTAGTGTTCTAGAAAATAATGATGGCAGCTAATAACTCGTGTGATTTTTCCTGAGTCTGAGGTCTTTGATAATCAGTGAATATGGCATTTCTTTGGTGCTGCTATCGTTCCATGATTTTTAGGTGGGGGACTAAATTCATAAGTGGAGAGGCTGTTAGGTAGGACAAAAGTAACTGCAATAACTGAGATACGTCAGAGGGAATCCCTTAAATTTTTATACGAAACAATCAGCAAGACATTTAGAGAGGTTCTGTTTTTTTCCCCTTAAAAACTTTTTTCCTGATCATATAATAATACATATCCATTGTTAAAAATTTGGAATTCACACAAAAGCAGGAAGGAAAAAAGCCCCAACTACTCATTAAACCATATCATCCATTAATAACTTAACATTTTGATCTATTTCCTTCTGATCCTCTGTCCATCTTTTCACATGATGCTATCGTGTAAGTCTATATTTTTTACTTAACATGAGAATACAGCCATTGTTACTGATTATTAAAAGATATTTATAAACATAATTTTAATGTCTGAATAATACTCGATTGTGTGGATATACAATTTACAACATTTCTCTGTTATACACCTAACTCATTTCTACTCTGTTTTAAAAATATGCAGTGATGATGATATCTTTGGGTATAAAGATTGTTCCCCCTTCCCAACTATTTCTTTATGGTAGTTTCCAGTGAAATTACTAGATCAAAGTATATGAGCACTGTAAGGGTACCACAGCCATAATTTTTTAAAAGGCTATGCCAATTAACACTCTCTTTCCACATGTCCTTTTATCCTTCTTTTATATCTCCTCACTTAAGTTGCAGTTTTTATCATTAGTCATTAAGATAATTTTACTACATAGTAGTTACTAAGATATTATCAAGGTATTTAAACTTTTATGCTATTATGAATAAATCATTATGTCTTCCAAATGGTTTCTGGAAAAAAAGCTTTTGATCTGTTTACTGTCATTTCAAACTTATTTTATAGTCTCTTATCAATTATAGTCTCTCATAATGGCTTTCCTTGGAGAGTTCTAGTTAGATAATTTTTATGTCATGCAATACTTTTATTTTCTCTTAATAGTTACACTTTTTATAATAATGTTAAATCATAACAGTGATATGGACATACTTATATAGATTATGTTGTAATTGGAATGCTCTCACAGTTTGACTGTTAAAAATTATGTTTTATGTTGCTCTGAGATAAACATTTACTTATTCATTCAGGGAATATTTATATTTATTGACTTCCTATTAAAACCAGGGATATAATGGTGAGAGAAAAAACTGGATAGAATTCCTACCTTAAAGAAGTTTTATATAGTCTGGTAAGAAACAAAGACATCAGGGAATCACAGGATAAATGTAAAATTATAACTGTGCTAAGCATATGGAGGGCTTAGTGTTCTATCACATATAATAAGTATGTATACACACGTGTGTGCGTGTGTGTGCATGAAAGGGTTAACCCAGCAGGCCTGGGTTGCTCACAACTTGCACATTCCCAAGAACGGTCTGTTTTCGTGACAGAGGTTCTCTAGGTTGGCTCCTGGGAATTGAGTCTCAGAATGTTCTGACTGATAAGGGCTTTTTGCAAGCTTAGGGCTTTGCTGCATGCTGCAGCAGTGTGCAGAGAGAATTTATAGAAAGCATGATTCATGATGAACACCTGCATCCCCTCTGAGGGTCTGGAGCTCTAGTGACTGAGATCAGTCACATAGCCATTATATGTCTATACGACAGACTCCTTTCCAAACCCCTAAACTCCCGGGTTCAAATAAGCTTCCCTAGTAGGTAGCACTTTGCATGTACTGTCACACGACAAACAAAGAATGCTCTGTACAACTCCACTAGGTGCAAATTCTTGGAAGCTTGCATCTGGTTTCCTCTGGACTTCACCTCATGTCCTTTCTCCCTCCGCTGATACTGCTAGTATTTTTTTGCTTTAATAAAACATAACCACGAGTATAACAACTTCTAGGCCTTTTGAATCCTTTTAGCAAATCACTGAACCTGAGGGTGATCTTGGGGACGCCTTGACACAATGTGTACAGGCATATCTCACTTTATAATGTTTTGCTTGACTGTGCTTTGCAGATATTGCATTTTTTACAAATTAAAGGTTTGTGGCAACACTATGTTGACCAAGTGTATTGGTGCCATTTTTCCAACAGCATTTGCCCACTTCATGTCTCTGTGTCATATTCTAGTAATTCTTGCAATATTTCAAACTTTTTCATTATTATTACATTTGTTATGGTGATCTGTGATCAGTGGTCTTTGATGCTACCATTGTAACTGTCTTGGGGCGCCATGAACAGTGTCCATCTAAGACGGAGACCTCAACTGACAAACGTGTATGTTCTGAGTGCTCCACTGACCAACCATTCCCCCTCTCCCTCTCCTCGTGCCTCCCTATTCCCTGAGAAACAACAATATAGAGATTAGGCCAATTAACAGCCCTATGATGGCCTCTAAGTGTTCAGGTGAAGTGAAGAGTCACACACCTTTCACTTTAAATCCAAAGCTAGAAATGATAAATTTTAGTGAGGAATACACGTCCTTAGTAAGGAAGGAAGGCAAAGCAGCGAGTGCTGGTGTAGAAGCTGCAGCCAGTCATCCAGAAGATCCAGCTAAGATGATTAATGCAGGTGTCTACACTAAACAACAGACTTCCAGTGTAGACGAAACAGCCTTACAATGGGAGAAGATGCCACCTAGGACTTTCACAGCTATAGAGGAGAAGTCAATGCCTAGCTTCAAACCTTCAAAAGACAGGCTGACTCTCTCGTTAGGAGCTAATGTAGTTGGTGACTTTAAGTTGAAGCCAATGCTCATTTATCATTCCAAAAATCCTAGAACCCTTAAGAATTGGTAATACATACTCTTACCTGTGCTCTATAAATGGAACAACAAATCCTAGATGACAGCACATCTGTTTACAACATGGTTTACTGAATATTTTGAGACAACTGCTGAGAACTACTGCTCAGAAAAAAAGATTCCTTTCAAAATATTACAGCTTATTGACAATGCATCAGGTCACCCAAGAATTCTGATGAAGACAGATGACATTAATGCTGTTTTCATGCCTGCGAATACAACATCCATTCTGCAGCCCAGGGATCAAGGAGTAATTTTGACTTTCAAGTCTTATTAGTTAAGAAACACATTTTGTAAGGTTATAGCTGACATAGATAGTGATTCCTCTGATGCGTCTGGGCAGTCATTTGAAAACTTTCTGAAAAGGATTCACCATTCTAGATGCCATTAAGAACATTTGTGATTCTTGGGAAGAGGTCAAAATATCTACAGTAACAGGAGTTTGGAAGAAGTTGATTCCAATCCTCATGGATGACTTTGAGGGCTAAAGACTTAAGCGGAGGAAGTAAGGGTGGATGTGGTGGAAGTAGCAAGAGAACTAGAATTAGAAGTGGAGCCTGCAGATGTGACTGAACTGCTGCAATCTCAGGATAAAACTTTAACGGATGAGGAGTTGCTTCTTATGGACGAGCAAAAAAAGTGGTTTGCTGATATGGAATCTACTCCTGGTGAAGAATGCTGTGAAGATTGTTGAAATGACAACAAAAGGTTTAGAATATCACATAAACTTAGTTGATAAAGCAGCGGCAGGGTTTGAGAGGGCTGACTCCAATTCTGAAAGAAGTTCTACTGTGGGTAAAATGCTATCAAATAGCAAACAGCATTAAATGCTACAGAGAAATTGCTTGTGAAAGGAAGAGTCAACTGATGCAAACTTCATTGTTGTCTTAAGAAATCGCCATAGCCACCCTAATCTTCAGCAACAACCACCCTGATCAGCCAGCTGCCATCAACACTGAGGTAAGATCCTCCACCAACAAACAGATTATGACTTGCTGAAGGCTCAGATGATGGCTAGCATTTTTTAGCAATAAAGTATTTTTAAGATTTTATTTTTTCCTTTTTCTCCCCAAAGCCCCCTGGTACATAGTTGTACATTCTTCGCTGTGGGTCCTTCTAGTTGTGGCATGTGGGACGCTGCCTCAGCGTGGTTTGATGAGCAGTGCCATGTCTGCGCCCAGGATTCGAACCAACGAAACACTGGGCCACCTGCAGTGGAGCACGCGAACTTAACCACTCGGCCACGGGGCCAGCCCCAGTATTTTTAAATTAAAGTGTGCACATTGTTTTTAGATATGATGCTATGAATACTTTAATAGACTATGGTGTAAACATAACTTTTATATGCATTAGGAAATCAAAAAAGTCGTGTGGCTCTATTTATTGTGATATTCACTTTTTTATGGTGTTCTGGAACTGAACCTGCAATATCTCTCAGGTATGACTGCATATGAAAAAATCATCTAATCTGAATAGCTAAGAAAAGCTTCTCTCAGCAAGTGCTATTTGAAACTGAAGTCTGAAAAAAGAGTAGGAATTGACTGGACAGAGAGAGGAAAAATTGCTTTCCAAGCATGAGATAAAGGATATCGTGAAAATAATATTTCATAGTCTAAGAAATGAAAGGAGGGAATAGGCCATTTACAGCCTCATAGGGCATACTAAGGACCGTTTTTGTGCTTTAAGCAAGGAAGAGCGATGTGATCAGATTTTGGAAAATTCACTCAGGCTGTAATACACCGACCAGAATCTTAGGAGGCCGCAGCAAGTGGTGTAGGCAGAATTTTCATCATATTAAGGTGGTATTCTTATGTTCCTCAGATTTAAACTATTTTGTGTTTTGTTGTTGTTGTTCATGTGATTCTTTCGTTGTTCTCGTTTGCTTTGTTTTTGCCTTTCAAGCTGGAAGGGTACTGAATGAGAGCAAGCAGGCGTTCTTGTAGGGAGACACAGAGAATGCAAGGAGGGGGAAGCATCCACGCACGAGATGGGGTGAGTCTACACTTTCCATTCTTCTCCCTGATTCTCCTACAACCTTTTCCAAAATACGTAAATTTATTCTAAAGCCTGCCAATATTTGCTTTTCTGTGAAGTGTTGCAGCTACTAAAGGTTTTAAACAAGGAATGACACGAGCACTTACCATTACAGCAGAATGCCGAATATCTAAAGCATACGTAGAATCCAAAACAGGTGAATTTAATTTTAAAAATTTGCTCATATCTTCTCCATTGATCCCAAGATTGCGAAGTCCATTCATCATTTTTCCTTCCAGTTTCAGCATATCCAAAAGACTTTGTTTCAAGGAAAGAAATAGTTTATTTCAATTTGCCAAAATTAAAAAAATCCTTTAAAGTTTATAGCTTTCTCAAAGCATTAGAAACAAGTTTCACTGGTATTTTCATTAACAGCAGGAAAACAGATTATTAAATTAAACTCATTAACAAAAAAGACAAGAATTTCTTCTCATTAGTTATCTTGGGTGAACTTTTGTTGAGGTTTTTTGTTTTGTTTTTTTTTAGTGGTAACAAAATATTATTTAAGAGATAAAACAACAAGGTATATTTATTATATTCCTTGCCAAAGAAGTGAGGATGTGCTCACCCCTGGGGAAGCCAAATATGAAGGGAAAAATATATTAGGTCACTCTTTTGATAAATCTTCTACAAAAAAAAGATCAAACACGACCTAAAATATAAAATTTTAATACAGAGGAAGCCCCATTAAAGCATCAAAGTTCACATCTGTTTAGAATACATATTAAAATTTCTACTTGCATATATAATAATTTGATAGCTCTTAAACATAATAGAAAGTATTACTGCTAAAAATAACAATAAAATCAATAAATAATACTATTGACAAAAAGTTTGGGCAATTTGATTCTTTAAACTACTGGTTATCAAGCTTGTACTGTGTGCCAGATGATGTTAAGCACTTTTCAAACAGAGCTCCTCTGAGTCTCACCACCATCTCAGGGAGTCGCAAATGCTGCACCTGAGGCTCAGACGGTGAAGCCTCCTGTGCAGGTCCCTCGGCTAGTGGAGCGGCAGGGCTGGGATAGCAACGCTACAGGACTGCAGTGCTTTCCTGCATCTGGAAAGATAAGGCTTTATGGACTGCAGTAAAGTGTGCTCATGTCCGAAAAGGTAAAAGTTTACTAGGCAGGGAGAAACTTTATTACTTTTTGAAACCAAGTGTTAAAATTCACATTTATAATATTTAACTTAAGTGCTTAATTAAAAAATTGGGTCATGAAAATTACTTTGCCTTTCAGAAATGAATAAAATAAAATATGCATTTCGGAATACATTTCTCAGGGAGGCCTACAGAGATCTACATCTAAAAAGTAGAGATGTAATATCTAAACTCTTAAGAAAGCTGTTTTATAAGTGTTTCAAGCTGGTCTGTGTGACTTCAGCTCTGCACATCTGTATCCTAGACAGTTCTGACCGCTGCTTTACAAAGCAAACCTTTTAGCACCCAACCCCTGACAGATTTACTAGGAGATGAGTGTGATAAACACTAATTTAAATATCACAAATTATCAATCTAATAATAAGATTTAGTCTAGGCTATAACACTACTTCACATGTGACTTCCTGAAGTTCTTAACCTCTTTAGTCTAATTTTTCTCAGTTGTAAACTAAGAATTTTGGATTGCTTTGCCAATGTTCTCTCCATTTAAAAAATTTTATGATGCTTACTGATCACTTTTTTGTGTGACAGAATTTTAATATTCTTCAAAGCTTTTGTAACTATCATCTTTATTGTCTCAACCTAGTTTCTAAGGAAAACCACCAACAGGAAAACTAGGTGGAGCTACACAGTACACTGGAAAGGGAATGAGATTTCAAATCCTATTATTATTATTAATTTTGTGTGTGTGAGGAAGATTGTTGCTGAGCTAACATCTGTGCCAATCTTCCTCTACTTTATGAGGGATGCAGCCACAATGTGGCTTGATGAGCGGTGCCAGGTCCATGCCTGGGATCTGGACCCACGAACCCTGGGCCACTAAAGCAGAGTGCACAAACTTGACCACTACGCCACCGGATGGCCCCTAGAATCCTATTATTTGCTAGCACTTTATTTTTTATAAACCTTACCACACTCTATTTATTTATTTAATATCAATTATCCCACTAGACTGTAGATTTCAGTTATTTCTGTCTGGTTCACCACTATACCCCCAAAAGCTAGGTGTTTCTATAGCATAGTAGGCACTCAGATATTTACTGAATTGAATTTTAAAATTGATTTGTTAATATTGAGTTTTAATGTTGCTTGCATTACAAATACATATTTATCAAGCACTCAAAAGAACTCTGAGCCAAATAACTTTATTAAGATACAGAAAAAATCACACTGGTGGGGATATCAAGACACCTTTGTTACTTCTTTCTTCCTGGTAGTCACACTGTAGTGACACTGCTTGAGTAGGAATAGGTTGGCTATCAAAAGGAGTAACATTCAATTTGTACCAGTTTCTGTCTGGTCAAGTCTGTGGCTAAGGTGAGTGCTTAGAGACAAAGATGTCAGTGCCTCTAAAGGAGATACACAAGACACCATTTATGGAAGACTTCAATTTACTCAGTCCTACCTGTCTTCCTCCCTGGTCACTGCCACACCTCCCACTGTCCTAGCCTCCCTGAGGGTGAGAGGTAGCCCCGGTACAGCCTCCACTGCACCAATGCTGACCTGACCCAGGGAGGCTGTGGGTCCTCTCACTACTTTCAGGATCAGAGGAAGAAAGGCTAAACCACAGGGCATAGTATCAGCTCTCCACAACCCAAAAATCCAACGAGAGACAGGAGGTAGAAAGGAAGTGCAAAACATTTACCCACTCCCTTTATTTCTCCAAATGGACAATTCTGAAGTACCAGTCGCCCAGGAAGCCTCGGAGGTCCAGGGTATAACTTCAGTAATGGGACATTTTCCTTCCTCTCCTCTCCTGAGTCATTTTCTTCCATTCACCAATCTCTTCACACTGACTTTATTCTACAGGTTCTAATCTTTTTCTGATATCCTCTTGTTTATCTTGTGCTAAAAATGTCAGAAGATATAAATATCCTCACATATTTTCTTTTCCTCCTCTAAGGGAATTATAGTAGCTGCAACTAGCAATCACATCAATGAGGAACAAAAATGTATCACCCATCCTACAGATCACTAATTACCAGGTGGAGGAGCCAACGGGGTTGTATTTCTCAAATAACCTACAGTCTTCTAGATTACCCGTCAAAAGGTTTCTGCTATGAAAATTTCCCCATATACTGCCACAGAAAACTTTCCAAAATCTACACACCTTTTCACTCTCTCTTTTAAACCTGTTTTCACTTTTTCTGAGTATAGATATAATTTTTGTCTCTCTGAAGTTTACAGGCCAGGAGCTTACAACCACTTTACCCTTTGTGTGTGTAGTACTCATCCTATATATATATCTTAGGTCACCATTTTCCCAATACTAGGTCCAGGAATTCAACTAAATAAAGAGAAAAGCCCCAATTGAACTACTCTACTTCTTAATCTTTCCTGTATTTTTCTATCTATTTCCAAATTTGTAATAAGATAAACAATTAATTTAAGTTCAATAAAAGTATATTCAATCAAATTAAAACTGAGTATCTGAACTAAAGTATCATGTTTACTAAATTTATCTTACATTCTAAATATTAATTTTTAAAGTAGTTTTATGCCTCTCTTTAAAATAAATTCAATTTGATTTCTCTTCTGCTTTGCCCATGCCTTTAATTTATGGGCCAATGGCCATGATAAATAAAAGACTTTCTAATTCTGCCCTAGAGCAGTTTTGAAGGTTTTTTTTTGACCTAAGGAAATAGATAGCACCCTGCCTTCTAGAATTTCAAATTTCCTTTCTGACAGATACAAGTACTTTGAATCCTTCCTGTTGATTTCTTTCCTCTAGGGAAACATCTCATGTTCCTTTCAGCTCCTTCCTGGAGGCGAGATCTCCCTAGCTGCTGAGCCCAGTCTCAAGGAATTTCCCCCTAAAGGATAAACCTACTATTCAATCAAAGACAGTTTTAAACAATGGGGTGAGTATAGGTCTCAGATTCAGGAACTCCAGTCTTCTCATCTGAACAAATGCCTCCATGGTCTCCCCCAGTTTTGACATTCTAAGATGCAAGAGAGTATTCTACCAAAATAATAGAGTTGTTTTGCACAGTCAAAACATGTATTTGCTTTACCTTTAAAGTGATTATTGGCATTTTTGACAAATACTAAATTCAGGACAATATTTACCTCTATATAAACCATAGTTAGTTTGTATTAGTAATTCAATACTTACCTAAAAGGATCATAAGTATCCATATCAACACGAAGTCCATTTATAAACAGACGAGCATCACCTGGCTGAATTTCAAATCTATTAAGAAGATTCTTGAAACAGAGCAGAAAAACAGTTAACAAAGTCATTTAACACCAGTTACCCATGTCAGGAGCCAGCAAACTTTCTGCAGTCAGAGAGTAAATATTTTAGGCTTTGCCGGTCATATCTCTGTTGCAACCAGTTAACCCTGCTCTTGTAGCATGAAAGCAGCCACAGACAACATGTAAACACACGGGCATGACTATGTTCCAACAAAACTTTTTTTAGAACAGGTGTCAGGCCAGATTTGGCCTACAGGTGAGTAGTAGTCTGCCCACCCCTGACTAAGTGATGGGAATCTTATGACAAGTCAGACACACAAACACCTGAATATTTTGATTTTGCAATATGTGATATCAAAGTTCTAATGCTACAATGATTACTTGCCTACATTTCATATTGTGCCTGTGTATGTGCACACGCACTTAGAATTTGATAGTTGGCATCGTCCTAATCTTTGATATCCCAGGACTCAAAACTTTGGTGTATGTGTAAATATTTGGAGGCCACTCTAAATTCAAGAAGGTCTCCATTAAAGGACTGTTTCAACATTCTGTCTTTCCATTCAGTAAAGACTTCCCAAGTGCCTGGCAATGCCTTTGCCAATACAGCTTAGTTATTAAGATGGTGGTGAGGGAGTCAGATCTACTTTAAATCCTAGTCTTGCCACTTACTAGTGGTAAGATTTGGGCAAATTTACTTAGCTCCCATAAGTCTCAGTTTCCTCATCTGTAAAATGGAGTACTCATATCTACCTCATGGGTTTGTTATAAAGTTCAAATGTAATATATACCTGTGTCTCACACACAACACTCACAAATGAAGCTTTTATTACTATTATCAGGGTAGGCAAATTGGTTTAGAAGGAAAAACAATTTTAAAACAGTGCATTTCAATAACATCACATGATAAGTGATCTAATAGGGATTTGTATAAATTATTATGGAAAGGCAGATGAAGCAACAAATTTGAGAGTCAGGGAAGGCTTGAGAGAGGTGAATTTTTCTGTATGGTTATCACTCACCATGACAGGTGAGTTACATACAGAGAAGGGAAGGGAGAAACTAAATTTGTAACAGATCAGAAAATATTCCACTTGACTTTTATAAAATATTGGTAAGAGATTAAACCTTACTATGAGAAGGTTCACAGGTAAAATTTTGATTTGTCTTCAGCTACCTCTGTGCCTTTCGATCAAACAGTTACTTATTCTAAGAAATCTGCATTCTAACTTCAAAATCTACAGACGCCTAGTGACTTCGTTGCCAGTTTTCCCAAAACTTGCATTGAACCATCATACACTGTCTGCAGCTCTCCCCAGCACCTCATCATTTTAGGCACCTCAAATCTAAGCAGAAAGCATTTCAAGCACACAGACCCACACTAAATTGCTAATTCCCTCAAGAATGTCTATGCCAGGCACAGTGCCTTGAACAAAGAACATGCTCAAAAAGGTAATAAATTGAACTCAGTGAACTTGATTGCTGAAATACCGTCAGTCTATTAGAGGCTGGTGCTGACAAATTCTTTCTCCTTCCCCTCAGAGGGGTAGCCTTAAATCCTGGCAAATTATCCTAAGAGTATAATTTAAGGCAGCGTTTCTCAAATCAAGGAGTAAGAATTCAGTTTCCAGCTGTACGATGAACCAGAGATCCTGAAACCCTCCTACTAAAAGAAAATGTCAGAAATGCTGGATTAAAATATTAATAATGCACTCTAAATGAATGACTCAGCTTTTAAAAATAAAGACTTCATCTAAGGGCAGAGAAGAAGTAGGACTGTGAGTCCAAGGATGTAACAAACACTGAAGGCCCTCTCCCGAGGAAATCGGGCTTCCTAGGTCGTCTAAAGCTTGGGCTTTCAAGGGCCAGTCTCAGAAGGCAAAGCTTGGGGCCCACACAGCGAGGGAGTAGGCACAGAGATATCCTTGTGCACAGAAATAAGTGCCACACTCAGAGTGAAAAGGTGACCTAGAAAACAAAGCACCCTGCAGAAACAGCACAGAAACTTGTCCATCTCAACGATGTTCTTGGTGGAGGAAGAATAAATCCTCCATAAGAATTCATGGCCTCTGGCTTCTCTTCATATGACTTTGAGGCTTGATTTCACACTATATTTAAGGTCCAAAAAATACATGCAGGCTCTTTATTTAAAGCAGAATTAAGTTGAGAGAGCTCTTAAGCTTTGAGCAGAAGCAAATACAAATCCCCATGGAGAACCACCATCTCATTCAAAAAAAGAGGGAATAATGTATTGCAACGTACCCCTTTAACGACCAACAGAGGTAGGCCATTGCTTGAAGCTAAAACAATTCCACTTGATTGAATCTCAGAAGACTGGCTGAGCTTTATAAAGGTAAACTGGTTTACAAACATGCCTGGAGGTTGCTAAGCTGAAACTACATGCATTCTGAACTTAAAATTTGAAGTCAAATCAGACATAAATCTTAACGTAGAAAGGTTTTTTTTCCTTTCCAGGATGAATGATGAGAGAAAATAAGATTCTAAAAAAAATATGTTTTACAGAGAAACTTTTGGAGAAATATTCTAATCTAGGGAATGTCTCAGATTGTAAAATTTTCACACATTCTAAGTAATTAGTTTACATAATTAGAAAAGCATGAGCTTTTATTCGGATTAGCTGTAATCTTTATTTGTATTTTGTATTTAAGTATCTGCATTTGGTTTATTACGTAATTATTGAATTAAACAATCTGTTTCATACTGCTGAAGCAAAAAAAAAAAAAAAAAGTTACCAGACCACCTGACCATATCTCCATTTTTTTCCCCTCAAGCGCACACAAAAATGTTATTGGAATATAATTTAACAGCTCTTAACAGTAAACAATAACAGCCACACATTGGATGGACATTGAATTTAAAACCACCAAAAATAGTCTCTGAGCAAATTAATAAGAACTATGAACTTTGAATGGAAATTAGCTATACTTTGGAGTTAAAGCAGTTGTCTCCTGAATAAAACCAAATCCAAATTCACTTATACAATCTCGGCATAGTCATAATATTTTCTGAACAATCTTTGCATGAATCCAAAGTGAAAACTATATAAAAATCTATACACAAAGAGTTCTTATGCTCATTCCAGCACGTTCCACCCTGTCTCCCAGCTCCTATCTGTGGCCCATAGAGGTAACCTTTTTTTTTCCCCAAAGTTTCTTGTTCATCCTTCCGGTGATCCTTTATGCAAACACTAATACGTACAAATATATATCTTGCTTTCCCTGCTTTCTTACACAAAAAAAGATAGACTTGCCAACACAGTGCAGTATCAAACTTTTGAATTGTTAAAATCTGGTGTCTCAGTTTCATTCTGATCTGTATTTCTCTCATTACGAGCGAGGATAGGCTGTCTTTCTCTGTATTTAAGGACCAGTATTCTCTCTTTTCTGTGTGTAAACTTCTTGCCTATATGTTTTGTAGGAACTATACTCCTTGGTGTGTATGGATTAGATGTTGTGGCAGTGACATACTGCCAGGGTGTTCATGTGCCCAGTCCATGTTCAGTAACACTGCAAGGGACACTCCAAGATTTTCTGACCTTCCAGTCATAACCACCCTCCTCTCCAGGGTTGGCGCTCCAGTTTGTTTAGTTACCTTCCACACACCCCATGCGGTAGTGGCTAACATGGATTACCAGTCCAAACACATTTACCTGAGATTAATAACGTGAGAGCCATTACCATCCTTGTCTTTCAGTGTGTTCCAAAAGAGGCAGCTAAACAAGATGACCACATACAATGTCATGATTATTTAGTTTACTGATTAAACTTAAGGTTTCTTGCTCAGAAGTCAAAGCTTGTTTCAAAATTGTTTCACTGCTAATTTCAAATGATGAGAGGTGGAAAAGGCAACGGCAGCGGGTGGCCCAATAGCCCTGAGCAGGCTGGAGCAGCGGGTGGCCAGCACAGTTACAGAGCAACAGTCCACGACACCAGCCTGTGCGCGTACCCACATGCAGCAGGTCCACATTGCTCTTTTAATTTTTCAGAATATTCTTGGCTATTATTCCTTGCCTATTTTTTCCACACGAATTTTTCGACTCATCTTGTCAAGTTTCAGAAAAAAAGAAACTCTTGGCATTTTTATTAGGTTCTGATTACATTCATAAATTAACTTAGAAGTGATTTCCAGTGTACAGTAACGTAATCGTCAAATACAAGAACACGTGTGTCTTTCAACATGCCCTTATGGAATGCTTAAATTTTTCCTTACATACTTGGTAAGTTTGTTCCTAGATAGTGCTTGTGTTGCTGTTGTAAATGGAGTCTTTTCTTACATTATATCTTCTAACTAGTTGTTAATGGAGCCTATTGATTTCTATGTATTAATTGTGTAACTCATTAGCTTTTGTTGTGGACTAAAGTGTGTCCCCCCTAAACTCAAATGTTGAAGCCCTAACCCGCAGTGTGACTGTACTTGGAGAGGAGGCCTTCAGGGAGGTGACTAAGGTGAAATGAGGCCATAAGGGTGGTGCACCATGTGTGTACAGAGGAAAAGCCATTTGATGACACAGCAAGAAGGTGGCCATCTGTCCATAAGCCAGGAAAAGAGTTCTCATCAGAAACAGATTCTGCCAAATCCACGATGTGGGACTTAGGGCCTCCAGAACCGTGAGAAAATAAGTTTTTATTGTTTAAGCCACCCAGTCTGTGGCAGCCTGAGCAGACTAACACACCTTTCTATCTATAGTTTTTTGTTTTTAGTTGATTCTCTCATACCTCACTTTTTCCCAATTTTTATACTTCTAACATACTTTTCTTGACTAATGTTAACTAATAACTAATACAATGCCCCTAGTATTCTTCTGTTAGTAAGATGCTGGTTTTTAAGCTGAGATAACACAAATACACATGCACACACTTTCAATCACATTAAGGAAGTAGAATCAATTCTCTGATAAAGTGTTTTTTTACAATCAGCAATACGTCTTGAATTTTGTAAAATGTTTTTCACCATCTATGGAGATGATCATACAACTTTACAACTAAGAT